ATTACCCATTCAAGCCGTCTCCAAGCATTATTAGTCTCAAAGTGGATTCCTCTTCATCGAATTTGAATTCATCACGGCGATTAATCGAGGTTGTGTAAGTCTAAACGTTTATTTTTGTTATTCCATGTATAACTTTTTAAGTATGTTCTCTCACCTACCCACTACCATAAACCAATCATACCGTGAAACTGTTTTTAAACTTCGTAACCTGAATACAAAAAACATCAAAAGGAGAAACGATATTTCCTTCCTCAGACTATGCCGCTCTGAAAAGCTAATTCCTAAATTTGTGAAGGTCAAGTTATCGAAAAACTTAAACCAGTTTTCAGGTATTATCCAAAACATGCAGAAAAACTCCTAAAAGCAACCCTGAATTCTAAATATCAAGAACTAGACTACTTACAAAAACTCAAACAGAAATTAAACCACCAACTAGCCTGCTACCTCAAACCAGATGATTACTGCAATATACAACGTGCTATCAACCAAAACATCTCAATGTTGAATCAAGAAAAGAAGTCTATATACAATAAGAAACTAGATCAACTAAGGAAACTACAACAACGTGAAGTGAAACACAACAATGCAGCTCAGCCTATCCTTGTAATCAACAGATCTGAGCGAACACTCAACAACACAGAATTTCAACTTCTAAACAAAGGCCTCAACTTTGCCGTCAACCACAAAACAACTACATGCCTAGAGTTCAAGGCGTGTCTAGAAGATCTAGCAATAAGACTAGTGACCCGCTACATAAAAAGAACAAAAGACCACCTCTACCTCAAACATCCTCCAACTACAAAAAGAAGAAATCCATGACATCAACCAACAGACTTTTATCACAGGTAACTACAACAAAATGTGGTTTCCTGAAGTTCCCAAAAACTGTATTTTAAATAACTTTTTTAAAGAATTCTCAAACAAGACTATTAATATAGTCAACCAATCCCGTAAACTGAAAAGTAACCTCACAAGTAACGAGATCAAATCCATTTATAATTGAAAAAAGACACTAACATTAAAATTCTAAAAGCCGTAATCAGGAACAATTCAGAATACATAGACAAAATGAACGACATCCTTTCCGATAAAAAGAAATTCAAAGCCCTTCCAAACAACCCAACAAACACACACGAAAAACAATTAAACAGAACTTTATTACAAATGAAAAAAGATAATTTAATTACTGACGATCTTTATTTTTATCTATGTAAAACTAATTCACGCACACCACAACTCTAAAATTCCTAAACCACACAAACAGGACTGCCTCCTACAATCTATACTGTCCACTTATGATTCATTCAACTACAATCTTGGCAAATACATAGCCTGGGCTCTCACACCATATGTAACATCTGCAGGTTCATTTTTTAAAGATACATTCAATTTCAAATATACACTAGAACAAATAAATTCGAAAGCCTTAATGGCTAGTTTTGATGTCGTGTCACTCTTCACCGAAGTCCCCGCCAATGAAGCTTGCAATATTGCACTCGACTTCTACATTAATGACACCAATAAGTTAATGCACATCCCCAGCACACTTTTTGCTTCTCTCTTAGAATTTACAATGACTAAAACCAACTTCATTTTCAACAACGAACATTTCCTTCAAATAGATGGTTTAAGTATGGGCAATCCTGTTTTGCCCGTTCTTGCCAATATAGTTATGACCCAGATCCAAACACAAACCATACATTCTGCACTTCATCCCCCACTATATTGGTACAGATATGTCGATGACACATTTGCTGGTTTCACTTCTACAGAACACACACTAACTTTCTTTGAACACATAAATTCCATTCATCCCAACATCAAATTTACCATAGAATGCGAAAACAATAAACATTTATCTTTTCTTAACCTCACAATTATTAGATCGGACACACAGTTTAAAACCAACATTTACCATACGAACACACACACACACACCGGCCTCTACATCCCATGGAACTCTGTTCATGACACCACACAAAAAATCAGTGCACTTAAAAA